CTACCCATTAATGTCCTCCCTAAAAGTATTACACTGAAAATAAAAGCTGACTGGAATTGAACAGTCTCAGACTGCTCAAGTGGCCATATTTTCCAGGACACCAGACGATGCTGACTCCTGTTGGAATGAACATTTTGGAATGAGATGTGTTGAAAACCTTCTTTTCTGTCCCCTTCTGAGTCATGCATGCTGGCACTGTAGTCTAAGAGGCACCTGGCTCTGCTGAAATAGAAGAACAGATGAGGGAAGTGGAGAGCACAGTGATGAAATCCTTAAAAACACAGAGCTCAAACAAAAATAATAGAATCACAGAATGGTTTGGGTTGGAAGGGACCCTAAAGCCCACCCAGCCCCAACTTCCCACCAGCTCAGGCTGCCCAGGGCCCATCCAACCTGGCCTTGGGCACCTCCATCAGGGATGGGGCACCACAGCTCTGGGCAGCAGTGCCAGGGCCTCACCAACCTCTGAGTGACAGATTTCTTCCCAACATCTAAGCTAGATCTCCTCTCTTGCACATTTCACAAATGGTTATTTAAGGCCACACAATGCCTTTGTTCCCTGAGCAGCAAGGAGCTGTGTCCCCCAGAATTCCCATCCCAGCTGGATTGCTGTACCTGTACCTTGGGGATTGGCCCAGCTTGGCTAAAACAAATACGTCCATGTCCAAGAAATAATGTTTTTCATGAGGAAAGTTATTTTTTTCAAGGGCCTCTTTACTCACATCTATCCCCGCTGTGTTTATAGCAACACAGCAATGCCAGGCATTAATTTCCTCCAGGGTACATGACTACCTAGAGGGAAGAGCACGAAGGCTGGCTCAGCAGATGCTGTACACACAGCAGTGGCAGCAGCATCACAGCCCAACAAAACACGGAGCCTCTGCCACAGCACACTGTGAGTCACACACACCCAGAATGACACACAAATGGGCCACTAAACGGAGAGTGAACCGTCACTCTAATTAGGACAGAAGGGCTCATCTGAAAGCACAAAAACGGTGTTACCACAGGCTTGAAAACAGGCTTGCAGTTCGGCATGCGATCAGCTGAGGTTTTTGTGATTCTTCTTAAAATATATAGAACAGTAATATACTTAGGCTAAAGAGGCTTTTTTGTTCTTTTGTTTTTGGTGCTTTCAGGACATCTATCTACACTCTTTCCAAAGGTTTGAAAATAGATTTTATGGGGACAAGAGGGACTACTCAGGAGTTCTGTTGCCACTCCAAACAGGAATACTCAGTGGGACCAAAATAATGACACTTGCTTCTCTTTAATAATTTGAATGCATGAACTTACAAAGGAAAAATAAGCCATAGTGGACAAAGAGTGGTTTTACTTCATTTTTGATAACCGCTCTGTTTTTTCCTGATTAGTTTTAGAATGGGAAGTGCTCTCTTTTAATTCAGAAGCCACCCACGAGAAGCAGGGCAGCCCCATATTGAGTGGGACAGACCTCACACTCACATTTATCACTGCAACAGCAGCTCCTGCTGAGCACGGCACAAAGCCCACTAAGGTTAGTGGGAATCAGCGCTGCTTCGGTGACCTTTGGTTCCAACGCACTGAAAGAGTGGCACCGCGTGCAGGGAAGGCAATACTGACAGAACAGAGCTGAAAAAGTGCAGAAGCTGCAGACTTGCCATTTGCTTTCCTTTTTTTCTTTTAAACACAGAGTATGTGCTTGCTAATATTTGCTGCATGATGCTCAACTCCTCTTTTCGTTCCCTGCGTGAGAGGAAAAGCAAAGGCTCACGATGAAAGCTGAAGCTCCAGCTCCAGCCCCGCAGAGCTCAGCGTGGGAGGACACTTGTGCCTGCACAGAATCCCACTGAAGTCAAGCAGCTCAAGGCTCTGCCCACACAGCTCCCTTTGCTCAGCTAATATTACAACTCTGCTTTATTGATGCTGCAATTTCCACATTCATTTCTATGAAGAAAATGCAGGCAGGGCTAAAATATGAACCTGCATTATAGTCAAAGCACTACATGTTGCTGTGTCTTTCTGAAAGACTCATCAGGAGAGCTCAGGACACTGGTTCCTAAAACATTCACAAAACCAGCCCTGCCACAAGGACTGTTTTGATGCCCAGCACTTCATAGCCTTCTTGACAGGCATTACGTTGAACCATCTTTTTTTAGAAAGAGAAAAGATTCAGAGGAAAGTTATCTAATTTTGGTTGACCTCTCTTTCTCAACTCAAGGGCAAGTGGTGCAGAAGCAGGAATCATTTCCATAACTGAATTGCAGAGCAGCCATTTAACAATTAATGTGTTTACCACTCAGCATATGGAAACTGAATGTAAAAATAAGCATGTGGGAATTGGAGATACTCCCGCACAAAGACTACAGCTCCTCCATACCAGATATTTAATTGGCCATTTCTTTCTTTTCTCCCTGCAAACAAGGGAAGGAGAGGGCTATGTGTTATAAAAGAACATAACCAGCTCTCCAGAAGAAAATGGAGATGATATGAATGACTCATTGAGCCTTCTGTGCCTTTGATGCAGAGCAGAATTCTCTCTTTTTTATTCACAGCAGCAATCTTACTTTTCAGTCAGGACTCGTGGTTTGGACATCAGCACGTAGCTGAGGAGCCCATGGCACACACATTTCTCACTGGCACAAAATCCCTAACGCCACAGCCTTATTCTCCCGTATCAACAGAACTTCAGTTTGTAGCTCTGGCAGACATAAGGTCATCATTCTTGCTTTAGGGCTGCAAGGAAAAGGATGCATGCCACATCCTCCCCATTTCTGTGAGAGCTGTAATACAAAATCTAAGTCACTCCCTTTGTAAGAAAACAGGAAGAAGAGGAGAATGTGCAATACTGAGCACTGGTGCCTGTTTTTAGGCAGCTGCACTTAAGTGGATATATAATATAATATAATATCTGAGTGGGCCAGTGTCCTCAAACCTTCCAAACTTGCAAGCCTACAGGTTTGTGCTGATTGCTGGTCTGTCTGCTCTACTCTGAACCAAAACATTGCTTTTTTATTTTATTTTGTCCAGCTTTATTTCCTACCACTTCTCTCGCTTGCTATCATGGGATTCACTGTTGGAAACTGAATGGGGATTTTCAGTGACCATTCAGCATTCAAACCTTTTCTATCTCCTGTGAACTTTCACAGCTCAAACCTCAGAGAGGTTTACAAGATCCAGATGACTCCTCCTCAACTGAACTGTTGCCTCCCCTCCGGAAATTGGAGAACTTATCTTGGCTAATGTTAATTACAAGGCTGGGTTCAGCCCTTGTTAGCTGTTGTTTGCATGTACCACAAAACCCACACTGATTAACTTCCACCAGCCTGCCAAGCCATTTTAGGGCAGAATGCAGGACTATGCATCAGCAGTACTGCAGATGAAGAGAGAGGGGCACTGCAAAGGTTGGAATGAGCTTATCCAGTGTTTCACTTCTAGGAGGGCTAAATTTGCTCATAAATTTAAAACAGGGTTTGAAGAATAGCTAAAAGAGCTCCAAGAAAGAACATTCATGGTGGCACGTTGCGCTGTATTGCATTAATTGTGATCTACTGTAGACTTGGTAACGTGCCACTGGCCACTACAGAAACATACCTTAATTTCCTTGGATAAAAGGATTACCTTGAGATCAAGTACGTTGGGAAGCAGCTCTACATTTGGAACTGCCTTCATCCCCACGGGTCCAATTAGCAGGTTTTGAACCAAGTTGTGAACATGTAAAGAAAGTTTTACTACAGTGGTATTTTCTAAAATATCAGCATGGCTTATGAATAGGGTGTTCTTGCTATAATGAGCTGCTAAAATAATCAGGAGGCAAAGATGGTATTTTTCTATTCTCCAATTGATTCACCAATAAATTGTGTTCTGGATCAGGAACCAACTTTCCCATTTAATGGGGTTGGTGCTACTTTTGTACACAACCACTTAACAAAGGGCTGTAATTAAGCACTGATAAAATACCTTATACTGACATTACAGAACTCAGTTCCTCACTTCAAACTGCTGCAATATTGGTGCTGCCTTTTGCTTGTTTGTTGTCACTGGGACAGCACAACTGGGGCAGGAGGACACAGGGCACCATGAGCACTTGCTGTATAGCCTTCCACAAAGTACCAGGCTCATGGCCTGGGAGTGACAGAGGACAGGAAACAGAACAAAGCTGCTGAACCTGATCCATCTTTGACACATACAAAACACTACAGGACATTACACCTGTGCCGAAAAGCATTCCACAGATGCTTTGTGGAAGAAGGTCTTCTGACAAGCAGTTGAATGCTGTGCTTTTCTGAAGGGATTAATGTTGATTTTAGTACACTGATGAATTCTGAACAATAAAACAGTTGCAGACAACTTTAGACTTGTTCTGGGCTCACTGGGTTTATCCTGTCACACACATTGCAGAAGATGGATGGAAGAGCGGGCAAACTGTTCAACAGTTTTCTTTGAATTTCTCTTGGGCAGGTATGCTGATAGGGTTATCTTGGTATACAGAAACTATTGCCTCAGTGGAATTGAGGAAATTCTGACTCAGCAGTTTTGAATCTAACTTAGAAAAATGACAACTCCCCAGGCAAACACAAAAGTTCACAGAGGGGTGAACTCTTCAGGAGGAGGAATAGCAAAAGATCAGCAAAATGCTGCCTGACCTCTCTTGTGCCAGCAAGGAGCATTTCACTGACCTGGGGCTCCTACATCCTCGGCTTTCATAAGTTTCACTGTGCCACCAGGTAGTCTTCTGCAACTTGATGGCAGTACTGACCTTACAAAAGGCTTGAATGCTGGTAATGCTGAAATCAGACAAGCTGGGGAGATGCCTGCAATAGTGACAGTGACCTTGCTTTGTTTCACCCAGGCGCATCAGTCACCAATTTACTCACACAACACTGTGTTATGCCCTGAATACATTCTCCCTTGTCATAGCTCACTGGCCTCCTCGGCACTTAAAATGTCTAGTCTGTATTTCAGGGTGTCTTAAAAGCAAAAGCCAACAAAGACCGAGCAGTGTGTGTGTGCGTACTCACTTTGTCTTACATATGCCTTTGTAAATTTGCTCATATGGGCACGGTGTTCTGTTCAGCTCCATGTAGCAGGGCATCAAACACTAGGGAGATGTTTCCTTGCCTTCATTTCCAAGTTTCCATCATGCCAGAGCTATCTGCAAGACAAATTCCAGATCTCCTCTGTTCCAGCCACAAAACAACCTCCAAGCTTCATCCAAACCACACCAAAGCTCTCAGCCTTCAAGAGGACATATCTTAGGATATGAAGGATATACTAAGATCAGGACATGGGTGGAGACCTTTCTGAAATAAAAATATCACCTTGTAAACTGGGCCTCAGACAGCTTGACTACACAGCCTTGATGTGATTTGCAGTCAGTGTGGACAGTGGGGAAATAACGATTGTATTTAGGATCAGGGGGAAGAATGGGTTTAAATAGCATGTAAGTGCTGCAGTGTGCAGAGCACCTTCACCTCTGCTCAAATTACAGTGACAGGAAACAAGCCCATGAAGGGAATAGAAGCTAAGGGCTGGCTACGGTTTTTCTATTTTAATCACAACACCAACACATCGATAGATTCAGGAGCTGCAGAAGGACATGCACAGAGTACACAGAAAGGAGACATGTTTCAGTAGACCACAAGCCCCGTGGTACCTGAGGAGCCAGAATTTGGAAGAGAAGTTAAGGGCTTGTCATAGAATCACAAAGTGGCTTGGGTTGAAAGGGAACATTAAAGCCCATCAAGTTCCAACCTCCTGACATGAGGAAGGATGCTCCTACCAGCTCAGGCTGCCCAGGATCCATCCAACCTGGCCATGGGTATCTCCAGGGATGGGGCACCCACAGCTCTCTGGGCAGCAGTGCCAGGGCCTCACCACCCTCTGAGAGAAACATTTTCCCCTAACATGTAACCAAAATCTACCTTGTTCTAGCTTAAAACCATTTCTCTCTATTCTGTCAGTATCAGACCATGTAAAAAGTTGGTCTCCCTCATGATTATAAGCTCCTTTTAAATACTGGAAGGTTGTAATGAAATCTTTTCAGAGCCTTCTCTTCTTCAGACTGAACAAACCCAGCTCCCTCAGCCTTTCCTAACAGGAGAGGTGCTCCAGCCCTCTGAGCATCTTCATGGCCTTCTCTAGACTCATTCTATAACAGCTCCACATCCTTCTTTGCTGGGGGCTTCAGATCTGGACATAATATTCCAGATGGGGCCTCACAAGGGCAGAGCAGAGGGACACAACCCCCACCCTCACCTTGCTGTTACCCCTCTGTTGATGCAGCCCAGAATGCCATTGGCCATGTGGGCTGCAAGCACACACTGCTGACTCATGTCCATCTCATCGTTCACTAGGATCCCCAAGTCCTTCTATGCAGGGCTGCTCTCAAGAAGCTCTCCCAGTCCCATGTGTTTGCTTAGAGGCACCCAATGCCCCATGGCATGGAAGGCGGGACTGGGAGATGAGCAGACATCACTCTTTGCAGCCTCCACCCCTAGCAGAAGGAGACCCAGCAGTAAATCTTGAGCAATATTGGGACTGCATGTGAAGTTCAGGCAGCACAAGGCCCTACAGAACTTCCTCTCAAGAGAGAGAAATGAAGTAGTGGTGAGAACAAATCTGTCTGGTTGCAGTTTGAGGGAAGCAATGAATGATTTCCCTTGCTGGAAGCTTTTCCTACACGTTAACTAACCAGGGAGAATTACAGTCCTTCCTCCTCCAATGGTTCTCCAGGGCTGCTCCTGAAGAATGCATGTGATGAAATCTCCAACACCCTTCCAAAAGAGTCAGTGATCCTGTAAGGGACTAAACGAAGTGTGACCACTGCAGAAAATCTGAAAACCATAGAGCTGTATTTGTGCAGTACAGTTTATCACCCTGTGCAGAAGAGGCTATGGGGTCACTGTCCATCACTCTTTCATGGGACAGATAAAAAAAAGCTCATTTTCCACGTGGCCCAGTCTTGCAGTGCAATTCCTTTTTTATTACTTGTTTCTGGATGCCTGGGACTGTGTTTCTCAAAATGGTTATTAATAGGAAATTTTAAGCAAGTGCAACATCTCCACTTATTCCTACAGTAAGTGATACATTCTTTTGAGCAAAATGATGTGGACTTTTAAAAATTGCGGGGAAGCGTATTTGTAACTGTTGCTAAACTTATGGTGAGCCATTAATGATCTGGGTGCCTCAGGACTGCACTGAAGTTATCATCACTTATTATTCAAGTAAACAATCAGTCTAAGTTAAAAATGAAGCCCTAAAGCTTCTAGGAACTGGATACTATTCTTTGAATCATTCATGAACAAGATAAAGACAATAAAGGCCATCTAGACCATCGCTCACCCTTTGTAATGGGTATAATACCTTGAGACATTTTCATCAGTACAGGACAATAAAAATGTAGATCCCTTTCAGAAGCTGTTGACACAAAGGATGAAAGGAAGGAAACTGAAAAACAATTCTTATTTACTGGCCTAATTGAGTTAAACCTCAAGCTACATACTTTTTTTAAAAAAACAAGAAGAGACTCCGGTAGCTACAAATAATAGCTTAAGAGTAATAGTTACTTGGAAAAACAAAGAAATAAGTTGTAATTAGAAAAGATCTAGTGTTTAAAACCAGGGTAAGACTTTTTCCAGACAAACATTTAGAGGATAGTGTATTACCAGAAACAGAACTGAGGTCATTTCTTGTCATTAAATAACAAAACATGATACTTTTCTCCACCTATCACCCTTTTACCTGACTATAAGAAAGAGCCAGCATTTATGTTTTGGTCTCCACAGCCTCACCCACTACAGTTTACAGTTTGCCCTCCTTCAGGAGCAAAAGGACCCTGGTACCTGGGTCTTGAGTGCCAGGAGCCCTGTCTGAAGTCCTTCTGTCTCAGAACATCTGTATCCACAGTGACACGTGATGCACCCTGCTCAATGTGATTTATTGCTATTAGGTAAAATGGCCAGAAAAGCAGCTTTAACATGTATATTTGGAGCTTCATTTACATCACTACCCTCTCATTCCCTCACTGATTGTAGAGACACTCTGTTATACAGACCTTAGTGCAAACAGAAACACACACCAACAGCTGACAGCTCCCAAACAAAGCCAGCAAGAAGCACAGCTGCTGACGCAGGTCTGAATTTACTTAATGAAAAGTTTTGGTTTATTCCTCCAAGGAGGGTTGGGGAATCTGGTCTGTGCAGCCTATGGGATACTATTCCCTAAACATACTTCCTAATTTGCCATTTCATAGAATCATTTGAGTTGAAAGGCACCTGTAAAGGCCATCTAGTCCAAACCCTTGGCAATGACCAGGGACACCTACAGTGCTCAGAGCCTCATCCAGCCTGGTTGTGACTGTCTCCAGGGACAGAACATCCACCATCACTCTGGACAACCTGTGCCAGTGCCTCACTACCCTTAGTGTATAATGTTTTTTCCTTATATCCAGTCTAAATCCCTGGTTTGAAACCATTTCCCCTTGTCCTGTCACAACAGACTCTGCTAAAGAATCTGTCTCCTTCTTTCTTATAGCTTAGGCTGAGCCAGCTTAGGCTGAGCCTTGAGCTTAGCCTGTGGTCTACACAAATCCTCTCCTTGACTGCTTGTCTTCATATGTTTCAGAGCAGGTATTCTGGGACTTCCACTGACAGCCAGAAATGCAATTTACAGCCATACAAGAAGGAAAAAAAGCACCCTCTGTAGAGCTGAGTTTTGCATCTCCTTTTCACAGAAGAGAGTCTGCCCCCCAAACAATCATTTTAATAAGGTAGATTTGATTCATATTTGAAACACTAACCTCAGTAACTTCTTTACATTGAGGTAATGACTGCACAATTGCTGACATTTTCTAACAGCGAGCAACAGCTCTAATGCCAGTGTTAAAAGCCCAAAAACCTTATAAATACATAATGGAGCATCAGAAGAGCTGCTCACTGTTCTTTCTGTTGACTTAAACATCACACTTTGCTTTGCAATCTAGAATTGAGTTTAACTAAGTAGCTGGTTGAGGATTAAATCCAACACTTCAGATCACAAAAACAGCTCAGAAAGGGAAAAAATGAAAGAAGAGAGCAAGTACTGCCTTGGGCATTTGCTTAGCCACCCTGTCTTGCTTCATTCATTCCCATGTGCCAGGTGTTCCTGACACCACTTAAGCGACTGAACTGCTTGGTCAAGCCTATGGATTTGTGCTTCTTTCTTATTCCTCCTCATTCTTACCCCAACCCAAAGCTGTATTCTGTAGGTTCTCCTCTACCTCACCTCCCAGGCTGCATGCAAGAAATTCAGCTTCCCATTTACCACTTCATTCTCCACATCATCAATACCACAAGCTTCCCTCCCATATATGTTTTCATTAATGCATCATTTCCTCATCTGCCCAGAACTGCAGGTGATAAACATCATCTGCCATTCTGCTTATATTACTCCTTCCTTAGGAAAGCCTTGGGTACATGTTTTGCACTGACTCAGATTTGAGATTTCTTCCCTTTTCCTCCCCAGAATTTCTCCCACCCATCTCTCAGCCATGCAGAGCTCCCACTGAAATACTTAAGAAACCAGGAAAACGTCTATAATTTTTACATTGTAATGTAGCACTTACTCCTACCATGACAGCTGTGGGATTACAGCAATGACAGCAGAAAGAAAAGCCAAACAGAAAAGAACGGCACTTATAATGAAAAAGAAAAGAAGTTCTTTCTTCCTCTTAATCTTCCCTTGTTGCTTTCCATTAGCAGTTGGGTAGCTAGAGAAGAGAAATGTTATCAGCATGCCTAATGGAATGGGTTTTATCCTGGAATCCCTACAGCAAATGCAAGAGATGAGAGAAAACTAAGAAAACCAACCTCACACTTTTGCTTTGGAGCAACCTGTGTATGAGACCTCCAAAGGGTTCAGCTGCTGCCTGGAAGATTCCTCTCGATTAACCCAACATGCTCAAGGCAAGTGTGTGCAACTCTTAGGAAAAGCACAGACAAGAAGCACATACACTGCACCCCAGTAACCCCAGGAAGAGAAGAGTAGGGCATAGGTATATTTTAATTGTATAATCAACGATAAACTTTATCTCCAGAATTTGATATTCTGCAGTATTCATACGTACTGCAGAAGACAATAAACATCCCAATCTTGATAATGTGAGTACAGCAATCA